AGTCTAAAAAATATTTTTCCAAACTAGGAGTCGACTTATAATGATATTCCAAGCGTAGCTAAGATGTGGCACAAGGCCGAAAGTAGAGGGCACCCAGTGAGGATCGAACTCACTACTCAGTTGTAGTTATTCTAGCGAGACAAGCTCGTTAACCATTACACTGCCTCGAGGTGTCCAACTAGCAGTCGACTTATATAGCGAGTATAAAAGGCAAACGTTTACCAGAGAGTTGCAATCAAGACAGCACTCCCAACAATCCAAGCCTAAATATATAAAAGTATCCCTCGATTAATGCGCATTCGATTAATGCGTTTTTGATTAGTCCGCTAAAAGTGTTACGTACCAAAATTCGATTAGTGCATATATATTACTCGATTAGTGCGGTAAACCATGCTTCTGTTTAACATAATAATTGAAAATTGATTTTTTTTAACCGTTTCCGATGTACACACTAGTCGCACTAATCGATGAAGTCCTGTATTTCCAAAAACTAACAGTCGATTTATATGGCGGTTATAAAAGATAAATTTTTACCAACAATTCTAACAATTATTGTACACCATTTACCGTACCTTTAGCCGGCTGCCAAAAATATACCCCACTATAACTTGTGTTTGGTAAACATATTTAGCGTATTAACACAAATTACTATCAAATAATAATATAGTAAAACAAATTCAGTATTCTCTAAATACTACAGCACTCTTTGCGTCCAACAGCTGATACACTGACTGTAAACACTGACCGAATTAGGTTGGTGGCATCAATGGATGTTTGTTTATATCACTTATGAAGATGGCAGGTGTCGGTGATACTGAGTTTTAAAATAACATACCAAACGTAGAAATATTATTGTAAAAAAACAAAATCTATCTGTTATGATGTATAAGCTTGTTTATTTATTTGGATTAATTCATTTTACTTGTTTTTATTTATTGTCATTTTTTATTATATATATATTTATTTATTCTTTTCCGTTTTCGATGTTAACACAGTAAAGAATATTTTAGGGGGTTGCTTATGTGGCTTATATAGATCCAACAGTATGAAGAAAAATATACTGAAAAAATAACATAGTTTTTCATTCAAAATATTCAAATTTTAGGAATACGTTTTCCATTCAAAATAGTCAAATTTTAGGAATACCTTTTCACAACATCGTCCATGTGACGATGACTTGATCATATTTAAACGGAACGCTGATCTTATAAAAGATTTCAGTTATCTGTTTGGATTGGTATTGCTTTTATGTCCATCGTCTTTTTCATGTTGAATTGTATATGGTCTATGTTAATTATGTTTTATGAATATGTCCTGAAGATGGTCTATTAGACTGAAACGTCCGATGTTGGCATTAAACATTAAAACAGCATAATCGCATATTAGGATTTTTGTTTGTTTTTTCAGTATATTTTTCTTCAAATATATATATATATATATATGGAGAGAGAGAGAGAGAGAGAGAGAAGGTGGAGTTACCGTGCAATATGTTTTATTTTTGCGTGGTGGGGCAGAAAACTGAAAACAGAAAACCAGGCGGTATGCGCTCTAGCTATGTCACTGTATAGTAGTGATACAATTGCATTGCTGTATTTGTGTAAACGAGGCTGAAAAGCGAAGAATGTTTTCTGCCACAAGATGGCGTAAACGATTTGAAAAAAAGAGATTGAGCATGTCTAGACCGGATATAGCAAAAATACTACATATTTATCTAAGCAGAGGCAAGGCAGAAAAAGTAAGTTATTTCCTGACATTGCAGAAGGATACGGTCATTTTCCCAAGAGCATTAATAAAAGAATTGTATATCATGAAGCTTCGTATGTAAACCTGTCTTACGGTAACAATACTTTCATGATGGCTACTGGTGAATCCTTCTTCTCCTAATTCGACTGAGCAGTTTGCTTAACGTAGAATAAATGTGTAGCTGTTTATTCGCCGCTTTATATGGATTGGGGATAACAATATATAAGAATGTATGTACCCCTTCTAGTAGAAATGTTATATAACGTACGCACATCTACAGATTACTATAAAATTATTTTTATGCAGGGCCTAATAAGGATGTCCTTATAGCCTAACATAAGCGCTGATTCTTTCACGTGTCTAACTCTGAAATGCTCTTTCTATACCAATATTTTCACTTCATTCAACAGGATTTGATAACTCCCACTTTCCCTCCATACAGGATCAGCCATGCCCGATTTCACTGTCTTTCTCTTCATTAAGACTTTTCGATGTCCTCCAGGATTAATTTAAGAGTGTGGCTAGTTTCATTCTTATATTCTTCACCACAATTCTAAGGAATGGAGAACACACAGTTATTGGCCATGTTATCACTCGGTTTGGTTTGGTTTGTCTTGTTTTACGGCATATCAATCTTAATGGGTTATTTAATGCCACCAAAAGTTTTATTGCTGGTAATATTTTTTCCCAAAAAGGTATCGTTGGTAATATTTTTCCAAAAATGTATTGCTGGTAATATCTTTTTTTTTTTTTCAAAAATGTACTGCTGGTAATATTTCATTTTTTTTTAAATATATCGCTGGTATCTTTTTTAAGAAAGTATTGCTGGTAATTTTTTTTTTCAAAAAATGTATTGCTGGTAATAATGTGATGGTAGTAATATTTTCCATTCAAAAAGTCATTGCTAGTAATATTTTTTTACAAAAGCAATTGCTGGTATTAGAACCTATTTTTACATTTTCATAGTGTTTTGACCCCAGTTTCGGAGTGGGGGTTAACTATTTGCTCATAGCTGAAACCCTAACAGGTGCTGCCACCCCGGGTCAGGGTGGACCTGAGGACACCAGAAATTAAGAAATGCTTCTATGCTTCTCAAAAACTCCTACTCAGAGGTCTTGCTGTTGGATGTAGTTTATCGTCATATTCAGGATGCGTTATCACCCGATTAGGCTTTAAATTTCTCCATAGAGAGGATCAGTTTCTGGATAATCGTAAGTTTAATCTCCAGACAGTCAGCTTGTAGTTGGACTCAGTAGGAACGGATGTAGCAAGAATTAAGTAATACTGAATAAGTTATAATAACAACAACGATGAGGACAATTGTCGTTTTTTTTTTGTTTTTTTTTTAGTAAAGTTCAGTTATTGTTTATCCTGCTTTGACTGAATCTATATTGGTACTACTCCGCCCAAAGACTGAACTTACAATTAATAGATAACCAGTTTTATGAACTAGCACTTTGCTCGGCTTTTGCTGGTTGATTGATTTGTCTGTTTAATGGCATATCAACTCTTTATGGGTCATTTAATGCCAAAATTTAATTTACTTGGGAGCATGGAATTAATAAAAATGTTATTTTGCTTTCACAATTCAATGCATGGTAGATGATGTTACAGTTTTTTGTGTATATATGTAGGTAACTAGTGAGCGAGTCAAAATGACTTAATTCCCTTTATAGTCTACCAATAGAAGATTAACCAACCAGAAGCCGCAGAACACTGTATCCGTCGTGTATAAAGGCGGTCATCTTTGTTTTACCTACCGGAAGGACCAGAGCCAACTTGTCAGGCGAACACGACAGAAGGAAGAACTACACTCTGCTGTGATAGCACTGCGAACCTGAACTACGCTTTCCTACTGTCTCCGAAAGATTTCCTGCGAACCTCTGGATTCTATACTCGAAGACGATCGTCATGAAAATGTCTAACAGATGATACTCAGCTTTTGTACATACTCGCCTCTATTAAGTATGTGGACATGATTAATAAAAGCGGATATGTGTTTTATTTTATAGCTTTGTTGAAGATATCTTTTGGGATACCGTTTTATCATAGAAATCGTAGTATGAATAAATATGATGAAATATTTTTTTTCGTCTCAGTTGTTTGGTAGTATTTAAAAACGGATTTGGCCGAAGTCGCTACAATTTCTGAGTATGTGGTATTTCTGGTATGTTTTGTATAAAACATGTATTGCTGGTATTTTTACTATAAAAAATCTATTTTTATGCTTTCAGGGTGTTTTGTTTTTGCAGGAAGGTTCCTTGCTGGGGCTCTAACAGGTGCTATCACTACGAGGCAAAGTGAACCTGGGAACAACAGCAAAATAAGAGACGGTTACATGCTCCTGAAAATCTCCAGTCTCGCAATCAAAGGCTTTAATACCGGACGCATTTTATCGTCATACCCAGGATTAGCTTGGCTTTTGTTCCGTGAACTCAGAACCTTTAGCAACAAGCTTAATGTTCTTATTGTCGGCTCTAATGTCGGGACCTTGCTGTCAAGCTTAGCTCTCTTCGCCAATCTCATTAGAAAGAGGACTAGAATTATTTGAGCAGTAATAAAATAATAAAAAAGAAAAAAAATATTCTAAAATTTATGATTATAAAATGAAAAAAAAATCTGGTGTTATTTTTTATTCGTCATATTTTTTTTGTACGTGCAGTATAATTGTAGCTTTCATAGTAGAAAAAGTAGAAATTATCCTCCCTACTTCAATGTTTTCCTGAATTACGTATTCTCAGTGCTATAATGGCAAACTCCAGTTGGCCTTAAGTTGAACCCACAACTTCGAACCTCGTGGACTGGCACTACGGAATAGTGCCAGTCCACGTGATATGTGATTTCTTTTAAAGAAATTACACTTAATATCCATTTTAATTCTTGCTGCTTTTGAAAGTCTTTAAAAGACGCTGCTTCAGTTATTTGGCACAGTTCTTAGTTTATGATTCCATAGTGCCAGTCCACGAGGTTCGAAGTTGTAGGTTCATCTTAAGGCCAACAAACGTTTGCCATTATAGCATTCGGAATACGTAATTCAGCTGACATGGAAACATTGAAGTAAAAAGGATAATTTCTACTTGTTCTACTATGAAAGCTATAATTATATTGCACGTACAAAAATGACGTATAAAAAATAACGCCAGATTTTTTTTTTCAATTTATAATCATAAATTTTAGAATATTATATTTGAAAAAACATTTCTTTTATTGATTGGCTGGATCCAACTTGTAAACCCCTATGCCTCAAACTGTGCCCTCTTTTGCAAAAAGAAAAAAAGAAAACAAGAAGGGCATAAGAAAAAAGTGTAGTTTGACTATATTTGGTGAGAATTCCCCGTGGTCTTTCAACTGATTTAAATAATTGAGTGGGTAAATTCATTTTCAAATCTTTTTTTTTTTTGTTTTCTACCCGAAAAAGTGCATCACATATTCCTTTTCTGACATTATTTTAAAACTATTTTCCTATTTGATTTTCAAATTTCATTTTTGTATTTTGATTTTTCGTCTCTTTTCTTGGCCACTTGTTTCCTGTCGACATTTTCCATCAGAATTTGCCGTTTGCCCTTAGTTACAATTTCAAATGCCATTCGTCTTCTTTTTCTTCTTCGAATTATTGTATTTATTATTAATATTACTAGTATTAGTAATATTAGTCTTCCTATACACCACAAAACTGATGCAGTGGTTAAAATATACGGAGCCCTATAAAACTGCCATGATTCGCGGCATCTAAACACATCTAAATCACAACGAAATATTCACGATATTGTTAGATTTTTTAAAGAAAATAGCATATAACCTTGAAGGTGCAGCCCAGTTAGAAACATCGGCAGGATAGGTAGTCTTGTTTGCTCAAACTGTCTCCGACTGATGGCGTTTCCTAGTATGTGTCTCCCAACTTGCTTTATCTGATACATACTTCAAAATTAAAAAGAAAAGTATTTTCGACTTCCACCCATAACGTTCTCTCGTTACTCCAACTCATAAACAGAGATGTACAGTTCGTCTGTCCCTAAGCTGCATCGAAGGAAAAGAGCGTAAGGAATGTGGCAAGCGAGATATTTATTATACCCCGTCTTCTTTTTCTTCTTCTTCTTCTTCTTCTTCTTCTTCTTCTTATTATTATTATTATTATTATTATTATTATTATTATTATTTCCTTTGATTTCTGGTGTGTACAAATTTCGTTCCGGGTCCCAGTCCGAGGCCTAAGCTTAGAAATGACGTCATGACATTTCCACTGACACACACACAAAAAAAATTACATAGATAAAGCTCTTCGTAAGGTGTGGGCTGTACTCGTGAGAACATTTTTTTGTATTACTTTAAGGCATGGTCATCCAGGAATCCCTTCTATTGGTCTACTGGAATCTTTTCCAACCAATCCGAGGGCTCCAAATACAACAGGTATAGTTCATTTTCCTATGTGCCACATTTTTGAGATTTCGATTTCAAGGTCTTTATATTTTGATAGCGTTTTGAAGATCTTCAAAGATACATTACAGTCCGCAGAGACTGCCATATCAATAAGGAGGCACTTTTTTGTTTGCGGTCTCTAAGGTCTGGGCGGTTAGCTTTGACTATTTTGTCCGTGTGTATTGTGCAGTCCCATATTATTATTATATTATTATTATTATTTAGAATGTATCAGGGTTCGGTTTCCATGTAAATGCTTTGAGTTCTAGGGTAGACACTGTCTGTCATTAACAAGAAGTAACTCAAACAGTACACTTCGATGTATGCTTCCTGTAGGCAATAAGGCAGATTTATGCAGTGTCCACAAAGTGCATTTTAAAATTCAATGCCAAGTGCTCCAATTACTACTAGGATGACTTTAAGTTGGCAAACGGTTCAGTTTAGTTGCTGATCTCTTCTCTTTGTTTTGCTACTCTATTATAATCATTTGACATTCATTTTCAGTGGCGTTCAGGACGACTATATATTTCGTGTTCGGTATTCATTTTCTAGATCCGTTTGAAGGTGATAATCCCAGATTATCTTTAATTTGCTTTCCCCTTCCATTAACCTCAATGGTACCTTTTCGTGCCATTGGTTGGACATATTGTAACCTATTTTTTGCAGAAAATCCACCGCACGTTAAAGGCAAAACTGGTCATGACTTTTGTATTCGCGATGTACGTTTTTGCAGCCAGTGATTTCGTGTGTGTCAATCTTTCATGTCTATCCAAAAATTCTACACTTATTATTATGATCATTTTCTGATTTGGATTCTTACTGGGCGCTGCACAATCTTTTTCATTGTGACAAGCTTTAATTGTACGCTTCTTTTTAATTCCCATATATTCATTTTTTACTTCTATTCATCGAAAACTAAAATGAAAAGCACATTTAACTCAAAGTGAAAATAACGACATAATCGAGATGTTGATATTCCACATTACTTCAAACAAAAGGTTAGAAAGGAAACCCTCATTAATACGGGAAAGAAAGATAACATCGTATTTTTCTGAAAAATTGTTTTAAGAGAAATATTTTATAAATTTAGTACGACAGCAGTACCAGTGAATGCCAACTGTTGACTTTTAGGGAAAGTACTAATATTACCATTACCAGTACATTTTACCAAGTGGTGCAAAATAATGCAGCAGTTACCCAAGCGTAGATCGAACCTGAAAATGATGTCAATATTTTGACTTAATCTTATTTAAAATAGTTTTTTTTTTCCTTTATATTAATTTCCATTCAGTAAGCATAATATTTTTTAAATGCCATTTCTTAAAACTCGCTTTATGAGTATAGGTAAATTCTTGTAATTTCCTTTGTTTCGATTCCGCTTGTTTCTGTCGTCGTCGTCATGTCTTGTTTTTCTATTTCATTGCATCTTTCGATTTTCGCTTTGTTCCGTGAATTCGTTCATTTTTACCTTAGCCTTTTCTTACTTGCATTTTTCTTACTTGCATTTATTTCTTCTTTCGTTCCTTTTTCCCGGGGATTTCTCTTTCTTTCTTTCTTAGGTATTTATAATTAATGAAGCAGTTTTCTCTTCATCCTTTATTCTGCTGTGTATCTTTCTTTCTTTCTTTTTTTTCTCTCTTTCTTACATATAATGCGTGTTTTTATTATTTTATCTATTGATTAAGTTTCCTTCCGTCTTTTTTCTTTCTTTCTTTCTTTTTTATTGTGAGATTTCACGCTTTCTATTTTTCCATTTTTGTAGATTTTTCTTTATTTCTTTCTTTCTTTCTTTCTTTCTTTCTTTCTTTCTTTTTTTCGTTCGTTCTTTCTTTCTTTCTTTCTTTCTTACATATAATGCGAGTTTTTCCTACTTTATATATTGATTAAACTTCCATCCTTCTTTTTTCTTTCTTTCTTTTTTATTATGATATTTCACACTTTCTATTTTTCCTTTATTGTAGTTTTCTTTCTTTTCTTTCTTTCTTCCTTTCTTTCTTTCTTTTCTGTTATTTGATATTTCTTACCCTTTCCCTTGTAGCTTAACTTCCTTCCTTCCGGCCACAAATCCTCCCATCTTTCTTTTACTTAATACGACGTTTCCTATTTTCTCTCTTTTCATTCAATGTATGTTTCTTTGTTAATCTGATTCTTTTCTCTCTCTTATATTTAATATCATATCTCCTACTTTCTTCATTGCGGTTTAACCTTCTTTTATTTTATTTTCTTTTCTTTTATTTTATTTTATTTTAATGTTCTATTTTCTAATAATTTTTCTGCAATGTTGAATTCATGATTCTGTCTTTCTTTTGTATAATGTTTTTATCCTACATTCTCGCATGTAAACTGCCTTCCTTCCTTCCTTCCTTCCTTCCTTCCTTCCTTCCTTCCTTCCTTTTAATGCCACTTTCCCTACGCGCTTTTCCTTCGATGCAGCTTTCTTTCTTTCTTTCTTTCTTTCTTTTCCTTCTTTCTTTCTTTCTTTTTCTTTCTTTCTTTCTTTCTTTCTTTCTTTCTTTCTTTCTGTTTTTCCTATATTTCCTACTTTCTCCCTATTAATTTCGCTTCCTCTCTTCGTTCGTTCCTTCGTTCCTTCCTTTTTTCCTTCCTTCATTCTTTCATTCCACACTTCCTTCCGTACTTGCCGTCAATGCAACATTTACTACACGCTTTTCGTTCGATGTAGCTGTCGAACGTTTCTTTCTTTCTTTTTTCTTTCTAACTTTCTTTTTTCTTTCTAACTTTCTTTCTTTCTTTCTTTCTTTCTTTCTTTCTTTCTTTCTTATATATAATATTTTTCCTACTATTCCGACTTTCTCCTACTAGTTTAGCTGCCTTGCTTTCTTCCTTCCTTTCTCACTTCCTTCCTTCCTTCCTTTGAATGCAACATTTTCTTACGCGCTTTTCGTTCCATGTAGCTTTCGAACACTTCCGTCTTTCTTTCCTTTTTCTTTCTTTTTCCATTTTTCTTTCTTTCTCTCTTTCTTTCTTTCTTTCCGTCTCTTTTTCTTTCTTTCTTTCCGCCTCTTTTTCTTTCTTTTTCTTATCTGCATTTCATTATTAGATTTGATGTAATGGTTTCTTCCTTTTTCAAATGTTTCATATTATTTCTTGACTTGAGATTATTCTTTAAGCTTTTCTTCTTTTTCTTCTTCTCGGCTGATATTCTATTTTTGCCATTTTAGTTGTCCTTTCTACTGACACTGCTTTCTTTCTTATTTCATTTTCCTTATTACCCGTATATATACATTCCCATTCGTTTTTCTCATTCATTCATTCATTCGTTCGTTCATTCGTTCATTCATTCATTCGTTTAATTCTTTTTTTATTTTTCTGTTTGCATTTCTTTCTTTACCTTTCTTTTATTTCTTAAAAAGGGTTTCCAATTTGATTGTTTTTACTTTTTTCATTTGGTCACTTTTAGATACATTTAAACGTTTCGTTACTGCGTCCATACACACACGTGCCCGCAGACATTTTCTTTATACAATGGCGTATCAATAAGTGTATAACCTTGTACCTACTTACTAGATAAATTTGGATCTGAAATTTTTCGTGTGTAATGTTTGATCAATGAGATTAATATACGCCACTGAATTAAATCCATTAACGAGGAAGAAGATTACGGTGAAGAGTAAATATTTGTTGTGCAAAATAAATGTTCTTTTTTTATCAATAGGCAGCGCGGCGGACTTATTGATGAAAAAAGACACACCCTCACACTCATATATATATATATATATATATATATATATATATATATATATATATATATATATGTGTCTGTGTCTGTGTCTGTGTTTGTGTGTGTCCGGGCATGTGTGAATGTGTCTGTTTATGTGAA